CTCTGTGGCTTGAGACAGATTGTTTGGCTTTTCCATCCAAATGTAAGGTTTCACTTTGTTAGCTGATGTCCTTTTATTTTCCTGCTTTGCCTTTTCTTCACTGCAACTTTATGACGAGTGTTTATGCTGAAAGTGGCAACAATTCCTCTCCGAGTTACGATGATGGAGACACGAGATATTTTTCCTTTGCTGGGTTTTTTTTGCCACCGTGCCCCTGCCCTCAGGGAGCTCTGCCTTCCTGCACACACACCCAGACCGGGCTCCCACCCAGACGCTGCACCTTTTCTTGGCCTCTGTTGCCACCTGCAGGATCATTTGGGGCGAGTTCAAGGACCCGGGTGGCAGCAGATGAAGAGGGTAACAGCAGCGTCAAGTCCTTGCGCTTCACTGGTTGTCAAGAGACTTCATGAGGCATGACCTCATCACCTCTCTGGAGCCCAGACTCCAATATTTAATGGGCTGAGTGACTTTGGGCGAGTCACTTCTTTGAGCCTATTTCCTCATCTCTAAAACAGTACTCGTACCCATAAGAGTGCCTTGACAGCGATTATGGATGGGTTGTTCATTCACTTAGATGTTTACGAAGCACACACCATGTCCAATACAAAGACATGAACACAATAAGAAGCTCTCTTACAGTGGGGTCACTCAAATCCATAGGAAACTGTCAATTTGTTGTGACACTTGCTACCACAGAAGTATGAACAAAGTGTCATGTGAACTAAGTGGTGACTAGATCTGGTGCAAGCACGGAAGGCTTCACAGTAGAAGTGACATCTCAGCTGGATTTAGAAAAACACACTGTAGTTCACCAGAATGTGGAAGCACACACAGGAGTTGTTCACTGTATAGACAGGAGGGAAAGGACACTGTATAGACAGGAGAGGAAGCAGTGGGTCAAGTGCTTTGGTCTAGCTGGCTCTACACAGTTCTCAAGGAGCGCCTGAGCTTTCAGATCCGAAGGCGGGCTTGGTAGGAGGGGAGTGTGAGAAGAGAATTTTGCCAACTTCAAAGCCAGTAGGCAGCCACTCACTTTACTTATAGGAAGGCCCAGCCCTGGCAGCAGTCTAGGATATGAACTTGAAAAAGAGGCGTTACACGGTTGAAAAAAGAACATTCAAGTCAGGATCAGGATGTTGGCTTCATGACCCAGGCTCTGCTACCCACTCACCGCGTGACCTTGACTAAGTTAATCACCCTCTCTAGGCTTCAGGTTCCTCATTTGCAAACGAGGAGAATAATACCCACCTCCGAGTGTTGTAAGATACAAGCAAAATCATCAATACAGTGCCTGACACATGATACATCAGCCACTGGTATTACTGTGAGATGGGCGCCCTCAGGAAGTTACTTTCCCTCACCAAGCCTTCTTTCCTCACCTACAAATTGAGAACGCTGTAGCAGCGTTTGCCCTGCATGCACCAGGAATTAATTGTGAAGCTACCATTGTGATGTAAGCTATAAAGTTCTTTTAAACCTGAGTTATAAATAAGAGTAGAGAATGAGATCATCAAAACTACAGTTTTAAAATATGCTGTCTATTATTTGTAAGCCATTTTCACTCTCATCACCTCGTTTAACTTTTCCTGACGAAAGGGAGAGTCAGAGAAGTGAGCCTCGTTAGCTTAATAGATGTTCTCTGAGCAGGTTCTGTGCATGGAGCCATGAGCAAGAGAGGATAGTGGGAGTTATGGCTGAGCAGAAGGAACAGATGTGATGTGTAAGTTGGCAGCCCCAGGCTCTGTCCCATTCACTCTCTCCAGGCTCTTATGTATCCTGACGACCCCACATTTCTTATCTCCAGCCCAGCCCCCTCTAGACACAAGGGTCACCCTAGTCTACCTCTCTCCTAGTTCTTCTAATAGAAACCTCAGGTCCAAAGTTAAGCTCTTCTCTACCTCTGCTCCACGGCCCTCCAGTCTTAGTCAGCAGCAGCTCTATTCTTCCATTCCCCTGTCTCTCATACCCACAACTGAACAAGAATCTTTTTATCTCCTTTGGAAGATAGTCTCCAGGATCTGACCACTTCTCTCCACCTCCAGCACTGCCCCCGCCTGACAGAGCACCCTCTCTCACCTGGATCACTACCTGGGCCTCCATTTTCCTCAATGACCTCCCTAGTCTATTCTCAACACAGCAACCAGTGTGATCCCGAGAAAGGCCATCTGCTGCTCACAACCCATGAATGGCTTCCCGTTTGTTTTGCATGAAGACTGAAGTCCATAAATGCCTGCAAAGCCCTATACAATCGGTCCCCTTCCAACGGATATGATGTAGTTATTCTATTGATTGCTTACTGTCTGTCTGACTACAAGCTTGGCAAGGGGTCATTTAATGGCACATAGTGGGCACTTTATAAATATGTATTCAATGCCTAAAATGATTATACAAGAGTTTCGCTGCATAGTGGTAAGTGCTATGAACAAGATGCACTAGTGTAAGAGTAAATCCGTGGAAAGAGAACTCCAGCTGGATTTCACAGCTTCAAACACAGAGCTTGCTCCAGTAAGACAGTGTGCAATGCAGTGCCTGGCACAGAGTAGGCGCTTTCACATGCTAACTGAACTGGAATCTGAGGTGATTTCAGACAACTGGGAAATCCTCCCCTCGCGCGCTCTCTCTCTAAAAATATTTTTTATTGATTTTTTTACATAGAGAAAGGGAGAGGGATAGAGAGTTAGAAACATCGATGAGAGAGAAACATTGATCAGCTGCCTCCTGCACACTCCCTACTGGGGATGTACCCGCAACCAAGGTACATGCCCTTGGCTGGAATCAAACCTGGGACCCCTCAGTGACGCTCTGTCCACTGAGCCAAACCGGTTAGGGCTTCCCCTCGCTCTCTTTCAGAGACTGCCCATCTCTCTCTCTCTCTCTCTCTCTCTCTCTCTCTCTCTCTCTCTCTCTCTCTCCCCCCCCCACACACCCCCCCCCCCCCCCCTTTGTGCCCTTGCACACACACCCCACACCCTGCTTCCAGGGCCTAAAGAATAAAAAGACAAGTCACCTGGACACAGCCAGTTCAAACTGGCTCTGCTAGAGACAAGATGGGCTGGGACCCTCTCCCGTAAGCCTCACTTCGGGAGGAAGAGGCCAGACCTCATAGATCCACGGGAGGACGCTCGATGCCAGCCGGAGAGGAGGAGGAAAGAGCCCCATGGGAAGGAAAGGACTGTAAACAGGGAAGTACCAGTCCCACCTCCCAGGTAGGTAGGCAGAGGAGACGAGCGTAGAGAACCTGGGGAGAGGTTGCCCTCTGCCGGTGAACCTATAACACCAGCTCGCGGTGGAAGAGCGCGGAGATACTTGTGCAAAGAACAGCCCCACTAAATTGTAACATCTTGGAGGCGGGACATCACAAAAAAGGGGGGTGGGGCACGGGTCTAGGTGAGGTTGGGCCTCTTGGGCTCACGGAAGAATCCGGTCACGCTGAGATGGGTCGTCAGACTGAGCCTGACGCCACCGTACGGTCCATTCACCGGCCTCCGCCTCTGAGTTCATGGTCCCGGCACCTTCGCCCGCTCCGGCCTCCGCTGGCTTGACTCCAGGGACCAGCCGCACCCCCAGGTGGACGCCCAGGTGTGGGCCCCGCAGCCTTTTCTCGGTGTAAATTAATGAGTGACCCTCCCTGGTTAGCACCGCCCAGCCCTTCCCCGCCGGGCGGGGTGAGA